TTTTTTTTTTTTTTTTTTTTGTTTGTTTGTTTGTTGTGGTGTTTGGATACCCAATAGAATGCTTAGCCACAGCTTTGCTGAGGCAGCCTAGGAATAGTTCGTCATCATGCTTCTTTTCTTGGGGCTGCTCAATTTTTCCAGATTTGCAATTTATTTCGATCTTTGATTTGTTTGTGAATTAATACATTAAAGATCGAAACATTGAGGCTGTCGATTTTCTTTGCAGTTTGAATGATTACAGCTCGTGTGGTTCGTTTATATTTCAATTGAGCAATTTCCTCTGCTATGTTATTGTAGATAAGAAAAGTCTTTACATCCGATTGGGATGTCGTGGTGACTGGCCAAACATCAAACCTCCTGGTTGGGATCCTGCTTCTGATGAAAACACAAAGAACACCAGTGCCTGAAACAGAGGCTTTGCGGCTCTTTATTTCCACATTAAGGTTTCATTCAACAAATTTTCTGGTAATTTCACTCTTCTCCACCCTCAATTGTACCTTTGAAAAGAAAGGGGTTTGTTAATATGTGATTCCGCAGATAAAATTGAAGAACAAAAGCCCTTCTTTTTTTCTTTTTTCCTTTTTTAAAAAAGAAAAAAAAAAAAGAAAAGAAAATGTGTATTATTGTTCGTTGGGTGGAATCAAATTATGAACGTGCCTGCAGAACTTTTACCACTTGGCATCCTCATTAAGGTTTTTAAATTTCTGTTCATTTGATTTGTAAACCTGTCGACATTACAAATTACAAATTTGAAAATTTAAGATTTTACTAGCGACATAACTTAGATTTATATATAATATATAATATTATTTTATTTTATTTAATAGAAGTTTACTAAGCTTTTAATTTAACCGTTAGTTGTTTTGTTCAGATATTAAAAACAAACCCTAAAATGAAGAAGGGAAAAAAGCGTACATGAACGACTACTATGAGATAGAAAGATTACGAGATTTCAATACAAACTTCAATAACTTTCATTACAATATGATGAGGTCACAAGTACATTTTGCTCGTCTCATTCCCGACAACTTCCTAATAACCTGATCCATACTAACATTCAATAATCAATAACCAAAATCCTTGTGCATAGAAGTGAAAACTTAGAAACATCATATTCAAAGAAATAAACACACGACAACGTAAATTGCAAGAGCTCAAAACAGAAAAGCCCGACGATCGAAAAAATAATGCCTTTTTGATGTCAAATCACTAGCAAAATAAGCTTTTACAACGCACATTTATGAACATCAGTTCCAGAGAGATGATGAGCATATTCACAATTTTATGTCGACGCATACTAACCAAAAGCATCATATAACTATTACCATTAAAAGCACTTTCTGTCCACATTGGGTCAAATCCAAGCGTTATGGACTGGATGATTTCGGTGGCACCTGCAAAAAAGTAGAAAAACATTGGACATCCCAACTAAAACAGATTCCTCGGACAATATAATTCAATTTTTCAAAGGAAAGGCCAAATGCAATAGAATTTTTTAAAAAAGAATTACAAATGAAATCTCTCAAACTTCGTGATTTTATCAAACACAATAATCAAATTAATCAAACCAATGTGAGATCCTACTTCGGTTGGAATAGAGAACGAAACATTCTTTATATGGGTATGGAAACCTCCCGCTAGCAAAACATTTTAAAAACCTTGAGGAGAAGCCCGAAAAGGGAAGCCCAAAGAGGACAATATATGATAGCGGTGAGCTTAGGTTGTTACAGATGATATTAAAGCTAGACACCAGGCAATGTGTCAGCGAGGAGGCTGAGCCCCAAAGGGGGATGGACACTAGACAGTGTGCCAACAAGGACGTTGAGCCCCAAGGGGGATGGATTGGGGGGTCCCACATCGATTAGAGAAAGGGAACAAGTGCCAGCAAAAACGATAGACCTCGAAAGGGGGTGGATTGTGAGATCCTACCTCGGTTGGAGAGAGGAATGAGGCATTCTTTATAAGGGCGTTGAAATTTCTCCCTAGCAAATGTATTTAAAAAAACTTGAGGGAAAACCCAAAGATAACAAGATCGGCTATCGGTGAGGGGTGAGGTTGGGCTGTTACAGATGATTGCACAAAAAGCAAGTTAGTTGGATAAACTAAGAGCATGCAACCAAAAAAATATATTTTATCTACCCATATCATCATTTTTTTAGCTCATATGCCCTAATTTATCCCATTAGCTAAATTGTGCCACCTAGTTACTACATCAAGCTAAATCATCACTCGTTAATCCGAGAAATGTGCCACATAAATACTTGAATAATGATGTTGATGGTAAGAACTGACTGGATAGATACCACTGTTAAAGAATGTAAATGAGATTTCTTAAAGGTTGGAGACTGGATAGACACCACTGTTAAAAAGTTGCATCAATTTGTAATAAATAAATAAATAAAGATATATAGAGTAAACATGCAAAGACAAATCAGTTATCTCATCTCATGTCTACAAACTTAGCTGTACTTAAAGTGATGCATATTAGACTTTACAATAAACAAAACATCTATTTCCTACATTGGTGAACTCTACCAACTATTTCTGGATGACGTTTTGCAATTATGCTCCAGTGGTGAAAGTGAAAAGCTTGATGTCCAAATAAGTGATTTATATAATTCAATGTGGCACTATTTGTTTTGAATATTCTTATGATACACACATTGTATCATTGGAAATTGTTCGTCATACTTTCCTCTTTCTTATAAGCCTTTCCTATTTCACGAGTTCAAAAACATGCAGGGTGAGGATTCAAACATCTATAACTGTCGAAGATATAATGTCTTAATCTTGAGCTATGCTCGGTTCACTTTTCTTACAAGCTTTTGTAACAAAACGTTGCGTCATTAGAAGCATGTCATTGGCCTTTTCAACTTTTCATAGGTACTGGTACGGCAATTTTTTTTGTTCTTTATAGTATTTCTTAAATGTGAATGATACAATTTACAATTAAAAACCTTTAAAAGTAAAAATGTATTAAATTTTTAATAGACATTTTAATAAATACGACCATGTCTTTGCCACTCTTGTATGGTTTATTTCCACGTGGGGTGGGGTGGGGTGGATTTACATTGATAACTGACAACAGGATTATAAGCTCCAAAAATGCATTTAATTTTTACTTGGTTGTACTTCAATTCTAAAATCAATGATCATTAACTAGCTAGCATGTTCCCAATTTTTGGGCATCTTGTCTAAAACTAGGGGTTTAAAGGTAACAAATTACTAATGCAATCGCAAAAGATTGTGATTTATTTTTTACCCTTAGAAATGGAAGTAATTCAATCCATGTCAAAATGGGAGTAATTTGATTCAGTGACATGAAGGAGAGATATTGAATTTTCATGTATAGAGGTCAAAGAGAAACATTAGGCGGTTTTAGATTCAATGTCACTTTGGTTTGGCGGTCTTGCCTTCTTGCCATTTTAGTCAGCTTGTTTCTCCCTAGGGTGTTTTGTTCCTTATTGGCGGTTTTCCCTTTTTGGTTTGGTTGCTCGTTATCTTCACTCCTCTTGGGTGTTTACATCCATGTTTTTTTTTTTTTTTTTTTTTTTTTTTTTTTTTTTTTTTTTTTTTTTTTT